ACCCGGGCTGCCCCACGGCTGTTGTAAAGACAGCGGGCTTAGGGCCAGCAGCTGGCGTACTGGCTACGTCGCTGGACTCCCAGTAGTTGACCGCGGTTAGAGTCCCGGACACGGTGGCTTGAACTCACACTGGGTGCGTGTGCGTGCGTGCCCAAGATCCCAAGAGGAGAACGGAGGAGAAGGGATCGCGGCGTGGCCATCCCCCCCGGGGGTGATTTCTCGCTTTCTGTCTCTGTCTCTCCGTGTCTTTCTGGTGAGTGCGTGCGCCCCGTAGCAACAACAACAAAAACCTCTCTTAAACAAAACAAAACAGCGGGTCTGGGCTACACTTGTTTATTAAGTCCCGCCTGATTACTCGGAAAGGGCTGAAGACAGCTGGGGGCTTCGGCATCACCCGCCCGCCTGGACGGCCAGAGCCCCAAGCGTGTGCAGTAAGGCACAGTGGCTGAGTCCTGAGAAGGGACAACTCTGTCCCCGTGAACACCAGGGTCCCCAGCCTGTGCCACGGAAATGGAGCAACGGCTGCTTCCCAGCCTGAGTGAGGCAAGCTGCATCTGAGCAGGTTGTGCAACAAGGGCAGGTTCCTCCCTCGCAGAGGCCAAAGCTGCCAGCTGGCCTGCCTCCAGCGGGCCACGGACCATCCCCGCCCTGGCTGGCCTGGAAGGGTTTAGCCAGAGCAGATCATGCAGTGACCAGGGCTGGGCAGCGGGCCAGGACGCCTCCACATGCCGTCTGCCCCTCACACAGCTCGGGAGGCGGGCACAGGCTTGGGTGAGAAGCAGAACCATCCTGGGATGGGGAGCCAGAGGAGTGGGTCCAGACAGGGAGGCGGGGCGGGCTGAGGAGAAGGAAGGGGATGACAAAAAGCCACGCCCAGTGGGAGGGTAAGGCTGCGCCAGGCGGCCACGCACTAGCGGCCAACTGTGCTTTCCCCAAGGAGACCCTCCTCGGAGCCGGAGCCGAGGCCTTGGGGGCCTTCCCGCGGTGTGAGCCTTGCCCACCTCCCTGCCTGAATGTGCAGCCATCGCAGCTAGGGCTGGACTGCCCGCCTAGTGTCCCTGGGAGGCAGGAGTTTCTTGGCCTGAAAGGAAGGTGGGAGGGCGGAGAGACACAGAGAGAGTCCCGCAGCGCGTCAGTGCGATTCGTGAACCACGCCGGCTGTCCCTGAGCTCGCTGACCCAGCAGGCCGGGCCAGCTGCCAGCTCCTGGGGTCCACGGGGCTGACGAGTGCCCAAGCTCTTCTTCCCCCATGGACAGAGCGCAAATAATGACAAAAGGACAGGAGTGTCATCACAGGACAGCCAGGGGCATGCTGGGTAAGGCAGCTGGATCCATATGGTTCAGTGTTGGGTTCAGTGGCTTAAACATGCCAGGCACATGTGCATACGTGCCCCAAAGCACGAAACGGGAGATGGGGAAGAGGGACTGCAATGTGGGCATCCCCCTGGGATGCGTTCTCACTACTCCCCAGGCACCAGGCCCACACATGAACCACGTCACGCCCACACAGGGACGGCCACCAGCACATCTGCTGACAGCCTCGCTGACAAAGGGTGACAGCGAGACTCGGGGACTGCCCACAGCCTCACAGACAAGGGAAGGCGTGGGGTTCGAGCTGCCAAGCACAGTGAAGACCCAGAGGGCGGTTGGGCTTGCAGATAAACCCACGAAGCTGCGTGAGGGTCTGTGGGAGCACAAAACCACGCACCGCAGGGAGCTCGGAGGTAACCTTAGCGCTGGTGAGCAGCTGCCAGACAGGGCCACCAGCAGGGAGGACCCCGCCCACAGGGCGCAGGCGGGGCGGGCTGCCCTGAGCACAGGCCCCGCACCCTGGGTCCCAGGCAGCTTTCTGCTGAGGACAAAGCCCAGAGAGGCTGAGGAGCAAGCCTGCGGCCACAGCGCACAAGAGATGTGGCCACGCAGTCCAGTCCTCAGCCACCACCTGCCCTTGCCCCTGACGAGCCACGAGGCCTCTGGAGAAGCTGTCATTCTCCCCACATGTCCCCCTTGGGGACACACATGATCAAGGGGCAGAAGCAGCAGGACCTCTGCCCTTGTCCCTGCCCTAGCCACCTTTCAGGGTGCTGGCTGCTGGTGGGCACTGGGACTTGGGGGCCCCACACTTGGTCACGCTCCCTGCCCCAGACCCTTGAACGCACAGCAGGCCGCTGACGGTGAAAGGCAAGCTCACCTGCAGGGACGAACTTCAGCGAGCTGCTGAATATTCAGAACCGGGACTGTCCCCGCTTGGGGCCATCGTTCAGGAACTCATGGCCCAGCCCATTGCCACACCTGCCGCAGGACACCTGAGCAGACCACAAAACAGCCACATGAGCTCCAGGCCCCACGCAGCCGCGGCAGCGCCCCTCCTGCCGTGAGCACACAGTGGGCCTCCTCTCGCCCTGGTCCCGAGCTGACGGCTGCTGCAGAGGTGGGCCTTCACTTGGTACCTACGTAGGAACATGGTCCCGCCCCCACATCCCCAGGGCTTCAGGGGCTCCTGTAGGTCATGAGCAGTGTCAGTGCACCGGCTGAGGCCAGGGGGCTCGAGTGGTGGGGAACAGAAGGAGGTAAGGTGTGACCGGCTCCCTGGCCCTGGGCCCCCCAGGCCACTTGCCACTGCTACCCACCTTTAAGGCTTCAGGGCGATTGTGCTCGGGGCGCTTGGCCACACTGTCAGCGTGGATGGTCTCAGTGAACGCCGGCCACGGGGACGAGTGTGCATACTTGGAGCGGCTGGAGAAGAGCTCGTAGCCACACTTTGCACACACATAGACACCTGGGGCAGGGTGGGCACGTCAGTTCAGCCTGTGGGGCGAGCCTCCAAACCCACGCATCCCAGCGAAGACGGAGCTGCCCTATCCCCACGCACCCACGCAGGCCGGCGGCGAGTTCTGTGTGGAGAGCTCGCGTGGCGTGGGTGCGCAGACCAGAAGAGCACTCTCACACTGACCACGTTCACTCTCAGCAGTCCTAAGGTGTAGAATCTTTAAGTTTATTCATCTGTTGCCTCCATGAGTAAGAGACAGAGATAAGAGACAAAGACAGAGACAGCACCCCACAGGGTCTGGACCACAGATCTGCGCTCCAGGCAGGAAGAGAAATAGCTCAGAGAAAAGCCTGTGTGCTAAACAGGGAGCCAGGGAGACAGGGTGGGAGGCCAGAATTCAGCCTAGCCCCAAAGTGCCACTTTGGGGTTGGGGGTGAGGTTGCAAAACTGACTTGTAGAAGTACTTAAAGGACTCAAACAGGAACTTCCTGGGTACTGAGTCACTCCTCACCTAGCACCCGAGTCGGCCTCCCCAGAGTCTGCACTGGTGAGCTCTGGCGGAAAGCAGGAGAGTGGACATGGAGCCCCAGCTTGGCAAAACTGCCTAAGACAGTCAGGGTCTACAGCCAGAGGGTCCCAGGGGAGGCCTGTCCAGGTGGTCCTGTCAGCCCGAGACCCAGTGGATCCCGCCCCAGGGAGGCCAGTGCCCTAGTCCTGCATGTGGGTCTGTTTTTACCAAATTAGTCCATGACCAAAGGAGTCCAGCTCAGGAGACACCAGGGCCTCTCTCGGCCTGGGGCCAGGTCTGAGGCTGGCCATGCCCCAACGACCCCACCCAGGCTGCCCGGTCAAACTTCACTGAGCAAACTGGTTGGCGGGGGCCAATCGGCACTCCTGCTTACCCAGCCAGAGGCGCTGGACAGCTGGGGGACACCTAGGCAGTCACACTAGCTCTGAATGGGCCCTGGGGACGAGGGAACGGGCAGAGGAAGGTTGGGTAACACCTGGGGGTGCTGTTTCCATGACGCCCCTCCATCCTGGATCCTCCCGACCAACATGACCACTCCCCAAATGCCAGGCTCACGCCGAGGCCTGGGCTTCTCGAGGACAGCGACCTCTCCCTCTAATGTCTCCTGTGCACTCAGGCACCCCTACTCTCCGGGAGCCCAGACTGCGCCCTGCGCCGCGATCCCCTTTACCCACGCTCGCTCCTCCCCG